ATGACAGGAGAGCAAATCTTCCCGTGAAAACAGAATAAAACTTCCTTGACCACTGAGATTTGGAAGTGAAATCAATGAAAGTCTATTAAGTACTCAGGATAGATCTGGTTGGCATCAAATACCACAAAGATCTTTGGATTCCAGGTGTCATCCACACAGCTGTCATACAAATTCACATAGCTACCGTCTTTGGAAGGAGGTCGCATGTATTTGGAGTCTCCATTTATGTAATCTCCAATCAGCACTCGAGCAAGAAACATAGATTTGTATGTTCTAAATAGATGCCGTTGTTGCAAACTTACACCATGAATTTGGAACGTGTTTCCGTGTTTTATGTCATCTTTGCAGAAGCGACTGGAGTAAGCAGCATCTCTAGCAAAATAGGTTCCTTAAATTAAAAAGGCCAAAAAAAAAACCCCAGATTACTCTGAAGAATCTATGAAACACAAGCAAAAACACTCTCGTTGTTAGGGGAATAGACACATGGAACTGTATAACAAAAGTAGACGTGGAATTTCCTCATCTGTAGATCTTTAAGAAAAGAACAGAAATCCATCTGCCATGGACAGCTGTGTTTCAGACTGCCATAGAGATAGATCTGTTAGTATAGACCAGTCCCCACCACCAAGCCATCCCAACCCCACCAAAATATAGCTGTCAGACCTCTGTTTTCAAACGAAATGCAGTATGTAGACAGATACAAGCTATGTTTGTGATTAAAAGTATGACAGGTCCTCAGTTTTAACTGCTTGGACCTCCCTCCCTTTTCTATTTCCTCCCACTGCTTTCCTCACCCCACTACCCTGGTCCAGCATCCATCAAAACTCTGGAGAGCACAGCGAAAACTACTGATCTACAGAGAGGATTTCAAACCCCGAGAAGCCACATTTCTATTGACACAGGGTAACAATTCAATAATATTTCTGGAAATAACAGATCGCTATGTCCAGAAAAGATTTCTGAAGAGAGTGCATGCTGGTCACATCTGAGCATCCCAAAAGAGCAATTTCACTGGTTTACTGCCTAAATACGAAAACTCAGTAAAGCATCCAACTCTTCTGAAATGGCAGGCCTATGAGATTGACATCATTATGGGAATAGTTACTCTAAAAAATTTTGGAAAAGAATTGCAAAGTCTCGTATTACCCAACACTGATGGGATTTAGGTAACATTTTTCTGATCCTCTTACAGTTAAATAAATGGAATGGCCTTTACAGTAGTTATTTTAAAAGCTGGTTTACTTTTTGAAAATGCAGTACATCCTGATCCTAAGTGGTAGCTCTGCTGATGGAGGTAAGGTGCAAAGTAAGGACCACAAAAGTAAATGTCCATCCCTTACCTTTTCCCCTTATCTCTCTCCTTAATTTGCTTGAGTAGTGGGCATGAATTGGAGAACTTGAACTTTGACAACATTAGAAAAAAGGTGAGGATTTCCCCCATTATTCCTTATTGCTCATTAATATTCTTACCTATCATTTTCTAAAAAAACAAACAAAAAGTACTAGTACCTAGACCTGTACACAATGTAATTAATTTATTTTATAGTTGTTTAAATATATGACATAAAACAGTGTAGTTCTATCCATAGAAAGGACTTGCACATGAAAATTAAGGCAATGCAAAATCAGCTAACATGGGCGTGATGCCCCATCTGAATGACTGGCAGTTGGAAAGCTATCTATAACAATCCGGTAGGAGTGGGTGTAAAGGTCTTACTTCTCTCTTGTTCATGCAGGAAGTGGCTTTTCTGTGGCTCAGAAACTCTGAGCATGTGCCAGGAACCTAGTACAGTAACTTTTAACTTAATGGTTCTCAAACCCCTGAATCACAAAACAATCGATTATCTCTAAAGAGAGGAGATTTGCTCCTTGGACTTGAATTGGACCTGGCATTCTGATAATTACCTTTTCCAAAGAGAGCACCATGTATGCCATTTATTCTCCAATCAAAGTTATGAATGCAGATTGCCTCCACGAATTCACTGCTGGTGCCATGAAATAGCATTTGTTCATTAATCTGAGGCACACCTCGTTTTTTCTTGAGCTGAGCCTTTTTCCTAAAAACACATATAAAATACACACAGAAATATACCACAAGTGGCATTTATTAATTTTTCAAGGAGCAAAATTCAATAGAAGGCATGAAACAGAAAAAATTTCTTTAATATAAATCATAAATGGACAAAGCAGCTCTGAAAAAGAATCTCAAGTACTCTTTGGACACATAAATAATCTCATAAAAAATTATTAATTAACATTGAGACCTAAAGTTGAAAATTATACCCAAAATTCCAGACGATACCCCATTACAGTAGAGGGGATTGCCTAAACCTGCCACATTGTACAGATGCCTAAAAATGACACCACAAACAGTTAAATAATATGAAGATCACAGAGTCTTTAAACAGTGGACTCTTTGAGCAGAGACCAGGCCTTCATCTTTTCATCCCCAGATATTAGAAAATGTTGGTTGAATTGAACTAAATTTTGAATCTGAGGGCTGGAAGGGACATTATGCCATCCAACTCAACCCCTTCCCAATGGACAAATCTCTTTTAACAATGTAGGACTGACTATAACAGTAAAAAATACACTGAGAACAGCTTTAAACTCTTTCATAGGAAAATGAATAAACAATTATATATTTATACACAAGAGTTAAAAGTAATGAAGTAGAGCTCCCTGTATTAACATAGATAACTCTTGAAAAATAATGTAGAATGTAAAAAGAATGTTGCACAAAGAGACATATTACTCAAAACAATGCTGTACATTGGATAGGTATACATACATAAGTAGTAAAAAATATAAAAACATAGATAAGATGTATCAAAAATTAAATGTTTATGCTTTGAGCTATTGGTGACAGTCGTTTCAGACCATGAAGCATAACATTAGAAGGATGTGCATTAAACAAATATTTACTTCAGAAAAAACTAGTGTGTTTTCACCAAAAACAAATTATGCCAACTTTCTTTTTCAGAACTTTATGTACTGACTTTTTTTCTTAACAATGCATAATGGTTGCTTTTCTAACTAAGAAAAAAATCTTTTTTAAAAAAGAAAAGATAATCATACTTGTTTTGACTCACTGTTCAATCTTCCAAGGTCTGACTCCTGATTCATTCACACAACAAATAAGCTACCCCTGCTAGAAGTTTTGAATCTTTCACAAGTGTAATAAGCAAGACTTCTACACTTTCATCCAAATTCCTGATAAAAATGTTGAAGGGCTCAGGAAGAAAGTATGTATGCTATTCAAGTGTCTGTTTGCATGAGACATAACTGGGTGTTAACTTTTCTCTTTATACTTAGTCACCTGGCACACACTTCCCTATCTTGTGTCCATCATAAGAACCTTTTTCAACCTCTTTGTAGAAATCAAGTTATACTAAGAGGCTCAACCCATCTACTGCTACGGCAATCCTCTTAGCTTATCTGGGCATTAGCAAATCTATGCTGTTTTTTCCTGAGTAAACATTGTGTAATATATATCCTTCTAATGTCGAGCTTCATGGTCTGTAATGACTAGAAATCCACTCTAAGATCAGGACATTTACTCATCACTGCTTCTCAGGCACAGATTAGAATGATTTTTGTTTTGAAAATTTTCTCATCTCTCTTAGATGTTACAAATGAAGTGCTGGTTAGCTCAAGCCAGGAGCGGGGGCACTAGAAACCTGCTGGGTCACTGGCTGGACAGAGTACAGTCCCAGCTGAAGGCACACTGGGATGGGGTGCGTCTAGCCTTGCCTCCCCACAGCACTGCTTATCCAGTGCCCACCACTAAGGCACCCATGAAATGTGGAGACTGTCCTACTATGACCTTGGGATTCCAGAAAGGCTAATGTTGAGCTCTAGGGCTTCATGGACTTCAGGTAAACCTGTGGGGGAAAAGTCATAGGATTCACACTACACTAAGTTTTTCACAACTCCGTTCACCTCTTCATTTCTGAACTTACTGAAAACACTGTAGCACCCACTTCTCAAGATGTCTTAGAATCACCTGCCCTCTCAGGGACTGAAGTGCCCAAAGGGCTACACTGACATGTCACATACTCTGAACTGCAGCAGGAGGGTCTTCATGCTCTGGATTGAGACAAGTTTGCGCTGGTTTAGACCCGTGGTTCTCCATCCTGACCTAACATCAGAATCACCTGCAGAACTTCATAAAGACAAACAATCTCAGAACTCGAGGTTCTGATTCAGTGGGTCAGGGAGGGTGATAGATGTCTCTACTTTAAACGGCTCCACGGGTGACTGTGATACGCAGCCAGGGCTGAGAATCTCTGCTCTCTATCCACATTCGTCCACGTTCTGAAGGAAACGGCAGCTTTCACTGCTCTGGTGTCCTTGCTGCCTTATCCGTCCCAGCCCCAGATCAATCCAGCCACCTCCCCTTTCTGCTCTTAAATTTGGATGGCTGAAATAGACCAAACAACATCCGCAGAGTTTCCACTACAACAAACCCACATATTCCAACTTCAGCTAAGCCCTCGGCACTGATGGAAATCCTGTAGTTCCCAAGTTAGCTCACTCTCCCCCATTTTCCACAGTGGCCATTTCAAAGCTCTCCTTTTCTCTCTCTCCCTCTTATCCACACCTCCGTAACAGCTCTTCCTCTGTATGTGACCTCACTTCTCATTTCACCAAGAAAACTGCAAGTATCAGGAAGGAACTCCCTACCTAACTCCTGTCCTCATGCCTTACCTCCCCTTACCGATAATATAACTGGACCACCCTTGTCTGTCTCCTTCTGACACATGTTCTCTGAACTCCATCCAATCACACCTCTTTAGGAACCTTCATCCATCAATTAACCTTCCCCTCTCTCTCCTGTCGTTTAAACTCTCCATCTCCATAGGTTCTTTCCTATTATATTTTAAACATGCTCAGTCTCTCTCATCTTTAAATTCAAAAACATAAAAAAGCAAAAACACCCTTCCCAACTCCACATTACCCATCTTCTCATGACTCGCATTCTCTTCACTGCTGAACTTCTTGAGTTGTCAACATCTGTTGTAAACACAATACAGAATCTACAACATTGCATACATCAAGGGAACCAATGGTTTTCTTGTTGCAAAATCCTAAGGATATTTTTAATTTTTATCTTATTCGGCATCTCTTCTGTATGTGACCGAGGATGACATCTACTTGTGGAAACCATTTTCTTCATTTGGCTTCTGTGATCACATTCTATTGGTTTTCTGCCACCTTTTCGGGTTGTTACTGCTCAGTTTCTTCCTTGGGTTTTCTCTTCCACTGTCTATCCCTTCTAGAGTTCAGTCCTCGGCCCTCTTCTTTTGTTAATCTACATAAATTCCTTGGCCATCTGATCAATTTCTATGCATCTATTAGCCCCCATTATCTCTAGCCTACACCACTCTGCCAAGCTCTCAACACATCTGACAGCTACTACTCCCTCCCCACCCCACCCCCACAGCAAAACCTGCTCCTATCCATCTTCCCTTAGTCAATTAAAACAAGTAAGTCAGAAACTTCGAAGTTATCTTTCCCATATCCCTTACCTCCCCCATTGCACACATGAAAACAAGGACCAAGCAATATCATTCTACACCCTTAATATCTCAAAATGGTCCTCTTCACTCCAATGCATCAGTTACCACTTTGGTTCAAGCCACCCAATGTGTCTCAGTTTAATTACTGAAACAATTTCCTAAAATGGTCTCCTTACTTCTAACTATTAAACTAGTTTCTCAACCTTGGCACTACTGACATCTTGGGCTGGGTATTTCCTCGTTGTGGGACACTGTCTTGTGTGTTGGAGGATGTTTAGCATCCCTGGCCTTTACCCAGTAGATGCCAGTAGTATTTCCCCAACTCACCACATGACAATACAAAATGTCTCCACTCGTTGCCAAATAGCCTCTGGTGGGCAAAGTCACTCCTAACTGAGAACAACTGCTTTATACCCCTTCCCACAGTATAGCCTGACACGTTATTTTTCTAAAATGCAAATCAGATCCATCACACTCCTGCTTACATTTGTCCAATGGCTTCCCACTGTCCCAAGAAAGAATCCCAAACCCCTCAGCTTGGCTTGTAAGGTCCTGCATGCCCTGGCCCCTGCTAACACTCTCCTTCAACTCTGGATCAGTCCAACTCAAATGAGGCTACTGAAGGAAGTGACACAGCCACCCCGGGGCCTGTGTGCCCTACCTCTTGAGTACCTTTCTCTAAGCATCCACCTAGTTTCTGTCTCATTTGAAATCTTTTTAATGTGTTATGTTGCCTCTTATAATCAAACTTTGGGCCGGCCGAGTGGCTCAGTTGGTTAAGAGCTCACTCAAGAGTGCGAGCTCTGAGCAACAGGGTTGCTGGTTTCATTCACGGCCTGAGCTGAGCTGCCACTGAGCTGCCAACAGGTGGCAGGATGGCTCAGCTAAAAAAAAAGCCAGAAAAACCCTTTGATCCATGCTGCTCCCAATGGGGCAGGCACCCTTCCCTTTTCCTACCTATGTCTTGATTAAATGACACCTGCTTTAGGAAATGGTTCTTGATACTCCCCACTTCACACACATACCTACTTTTGTCAGCAGGGGTGAAGAGATGCCCTCCCTGCTGTGCTTCCCCTACAGTTTGTGTTTCCATGGCCTGACTCCTGGGCTAATCTATGATCCTGTGCACTGTTATACCCCAAGTACCAAGAATACTGCCTGTCACAAAGGAGGTGCTAAAACACATTGTTGGAAGAAGGGAGGGAGTAAGAAAGGTCTGGACAGCAGGCAAACTGATGCCTGATGGATTCACGTGGGCCTCACTGCCTGGATAGTGAGTCACAGGTTAGGTGACAAGGAGATTGACACGGTAGTTTTAGTTCTTCAGGGAGATGTCACAATGACAGGCTGTCCTCACAGTAAGACTTAAGTGTTCTCTAATGTCATAGCATGTGGCAGACTCATTTACCATCACAGATTTATATACACTGGCATTACATAAACTCAGGAAGGGCATCGATAGAGTAAAAACATTTCTAACGAAATTCTTAGTATAAAATGTTTTGAGGATTTGCTGGTACATGTTATCTCTAGGGTTTAACTGAGGACTCGAATTATGGGGGAGACTAATGGGACTCTACTTCAGGAGCCTGATTAAAAATAATGAATTAAGTTTCATCAGACCATTTGAGGAAAACTTACTTTATTCACTAAGAGAATAAAATAAAAGGGAGAGAGGTTTCCATCTTCCTGTAAAAAAGAATCACCTAAACAAGAACGGAATAAAACCCATGACACTCAGTTAAACACAATATTGTCAGAAATAAAAGTTGGCTCAGTCCAAGGACTCAAGGCTGTAAAGAATACACACTGAAAACTCCTTATTTTATAACGTAAACTATTATGAGAATAAAACCCGAAATTTGCTCAGGCCATACAGACTGACTTACCAGAAGCATGAAAGAATTCCATGTATCACTAACAAAAAATAAGTCAGCCTGATTTTCAGGTAGATGAGAATGAAATGAGTGAAGGTCTAGGTTTTGCTTTAAAATACTTCAGCAAGAATAATAACAGCAAAAAATAAAATAAAAATAAGAAAAAATAAAAAAAAAGGAAACAGAATATATGTGGTAAATCTTGATAAATGTTAAATCAGGATGATGGCTACATGGGGTTCATTATATTAAACTCTATTATTTGAAATTTTCCTGAATAAATATTAAAGTTCTGCTTATATTAAAAAAAAATATTAGCGGGGCCAGCCAAGTGGCGTGTTGGTTAAGAGCTGGCTTGGGATGCCAGCTCTGAGCACCAGGCCCCAGTTCAGATTCCACATGAGGGCCAGTGACACTGCCCTCTACAGCTAAGATGGTGAACAACAGCTCGACCTGGAGCTGGGCTGCCATGAGTCGCTGGCGAGGCGTAGGCTGCAGCCCCTGCTGCAGTGGGTTGCCATAAGCTACCATGAGCAGCCGGCAGCCAGCGTGAGCAGCCAGCAGCCAGCAGCCAGCATGAGTGGCCAGCAGCTGGTGTGAGCTGCCAAGAGCCGCTGTGAGCGGCCGTCCAGAGGCTGGTGACCAATCTGCCTCAGCCGGGAAGAGTGCAATGATCACAATATCAACATGGGCCAGTGAAGCAACATCCTCCACAACTAGACTGAAGAACAAAAGGACAGCAACTTGTCTGTTCCCCTTCCCCCCGATTCCCCAGCATTGTTCCCTTCCCCCAATTCCCCAATAAAATCTTAAAAATATATATATATATATATATTTATAATATATATATATTAGAAACAAAATCTCATACATATATTTAATTAAAATATTTCAGAAAACCACTTATTTTAGGTAACATGTGTTATAAAAACAAATACAGCACAATAGGTTAATTTTGACAGTACCTTTAAGTTTTTGTAATGGGCTTTATTTTTAGGTTAAGTGCACACTGAGCAACCCAATGGGTCATTTCCAACCAAAGCTGAATGATGAATTGAGATTTTAAATCTACAACATAAACTTTGGGCTAAACAGAAAATTTGCAGGTTTGTTTTACAATGTCCTTCGAAACTAACCAAGGAAATAACTGCAGACAAGGTAGTGTAATTGTTTAGAAAGAAATTCAACAATGTTTCCAGAGAGTTCTAATTCAACACAAAAGTCTGAGCCAACAAAGTCATATACACAAAATGAAAAGGCTCCCCAGGTCCCTTTGCAATGCTGATTAAGCCAACGATGCCCCAAAGCTTGAAAGGAGAGAGAGCCCCCAGGAGTGCTGAGACTTTGACCTCCTTCCTCTAACATCACATTACAGTGTCGTAAGCAATGACTGGCATTTACTTACAGAGCAGCTCTCTTGCTCCCTGAGGACGTTGAACAAGATTGCTGAGACAACAAGTCAAAACATAGCAAGAGAAAACCACAGCACCAGAGAAATTTAATACAATTAAATATTTGTGCTTCACTATCTCTGAGATTACAAGGGTCTTCGAGGCCAAGGAGAGGGTTCAGATTAGAGAGACTCTCTCACCTGCAAAAGAACTCCCACAAGTCTAGGTTTTGAATTCTCTGAATTCTTTTAATTCTGTTGCGATCCATTGTTTTCCCAAAGAGAGTAGCAACTTCATTATATTCATGTGTTTGATTCTGCAAAGGAATAAGCTGGAAAAAGAAGTGTGATAGTTTTATTGGGGCCCCTTTCCGAGTCTGGCACAGCCCAGTCGGTCAGCTCTGCTCTTACCTGATAGGGTACCTCCGTGTTCACATTCTCCCAGTGTGGTGGCATGGGGATAGCCTCATTTTCACAGATGTAACTTTAAACAGCATAAGACATAACAAACCATTAGAAGCTGATTATAATTACTGTCAGTGATTTAAACTTATCTTCAAAGCTACATTTTCATGTTTGGGCACTGCGACAAATGCAATGAAGTGTGGCCCCAGGTTTCTTTAGTTTAGAACATTTATTGAATGTCTCTTCTTGTACCGCTTTTTAAGGTGCTGAAATTGAGAACTTTGATGGAAAATATCCAACCCCATATAACACTAAAATTTAAAAAACAGTTGTTTAACTCGGTCTTGTTTTTCTGAATTTTCCAGAATTTCTTTAAAATGTAAGGAAGATTTTAGGAAAAGACATTTCCAAGAAAAAACTAAAATCCTTGATTTAAAAAACAAAAAAACTAATAGATTTATCCTGCCTATTAAATAAAATCCAAACCCCTCAGCCACACATTCAATGTCCTTCCAGATCTAACTCAAACCTAAACCTTTCTCTGTTTATGCCCATTATTCTCCTACACAGGTCACATGAACTCACTTAGTGTAGTCAGTCAATAAAACAAACAAACAAACAAACAAACAAAAAACACCTATCTACCACAGTTAAGCCACTGGATGTGAACACAGAAAAAGATAGTGATCCTGGGGAGTTCAATGGCAAAGGGTGAAACTGACATAACCAATCCTCTCTGGGGACTGGAATTTACCGGAAGAAATTCATGGATTTCAAAGAACCTTAATTTTCTAAAACTCGTTTTAACTTTGAAAAGATCATACAATCATATGATTTTAAAACCAGTAAGGATAAAAAAGTAAACAGTGACTAGCTTCCCTCCCACTCCAGTCCTTGATCTGTCCAATTTTCACCTCTTGACTCAACTCCAAATAATCACTGTTTTCAGTCTCTTGGGCTTTCTTCTAGAACTTCTCTAGGTTAACACAAGCCAATCCCCTCCCTCACCCCCCAAATAGTAGCATAAAACATATGTCTTCTGTAGGTTTTTTTCCACTTACTGTATTCTTAGAGATCCTTCCCTATCAGTAGATAGAGAGTACCCTCATTCCCAGTCCCTACCACAGAGCCTGGCACATGGTAGACACTCGATAAGTACGGGCTGAAGGAATGAGTGCATTCTATTCCGCAGGTGCATACAATCCCATTGTATGGCTACACCATCATTTATTTAACAAGTCCCTTACTGATGATATTCAGCTTTCTCAACTTTTTGCTACTGTTAAGAATGTTGCGGGCCAGCCTAGTGGCGCATTGGTTAAGAGCTAGCTTGGGACGCCAGAGGGCCTCAGTTCGGATCCCACATATGAGGGTGAGTGACACTGCCCTCTACAGCTAAGATGCTGAACAACAGCTCAACCTGGAGCTGGGCTGCCGTGAGTCGCCGGTGACGGCGTAGGCTGCAGACCCTGCTGCAGTGGGCTGCCATAAGCTACCATGTATGGCCGGCAGCCAGCGTGAGCGGCCAGCAGCCGCCATGAGTGGCCGTCCAGAAGCCAGTGACTGATCTGCCTCACCCGGGAAGAGTGCAATGATCACGATACCACCATGGGCCAGTGAAGCAACGTCCTCCACAACTAGACTGAAGAACAAAAA